ATGGAAACCGAAAATTGGCCGCCAGATACGATCTCTCGCGTATCAATTCGCGAAGCGCAACACGATTATTCCGAACGCGAGATATACCGAAATCCGCCATGGGCTGGCTAGTTCGCCTAATGGTAGAGGGGCGGAACCCTCCAAAAGTTGGATTAACGCGATTATTAAGCAAGAGACGATAAACACGGGAGCGACAAACACAAGCTGAAATTAAAGACGTTAAATGGGACAAAGAAAATAACAAGTTGTTATAATGGACGGAGCCGACGCATCTCCAGAGTAATAATAATAATGATCGCGCAGATATTCAGCTGCGATAAAGATGCGGGAGCGAGATTGGATGTTAGACACGGGGCGCAAAATCCCAGAAGACACGCCGATGTTGACCCATTATGCCGGCTGTATCTCTTTCTCGGCGTTAAATACGCCTCGCACCGTAGGGATGACAAGTAATTCGTCTTGGTTTCAATCCGGGCGATAGCCCATTCATAATCTCGATAGAAGTCGCTCAGAGGCGACTGAATCGCCAACTATGATTACTTACTAGTATTACACAATTTATTTCTAACATGCAGTTCGCGAAACACGCACATTCTTCATTTCCGGACAAATGTGAAAAGCATACACGAGACGCTCAACGCACACTCATGCAATCCGTGCGATAATCGCGAGAGATATTCTTACAGAGCGCGCACACAATTTCTGGACGCGACAATTAGTAAAAGAAAAAGAAGAGACGTACTTTATGCGATCGACACTCACACACGGACGACAGACTTATCATACAAACGAGACTTACGCTCTAAACGTGCGAGATCTGATGCATATGCAATATACGGAATCCGAATCTCTAGAGACGATACACGGTTTAACAAATGCGATGTCTATATCTCTATTTGCGGAAACCATCACTCAAGAGGCTCCGGGACTCGAGTCGCTTGACGACGTGGCCGTGACGCAAAAATCACACCAAAGAATTGGGCATAGTCCATATGCGAAAATATGGATTCACACGACGACAGAACGTCACATTCTCGGGCGGTTGCGCGTGGCTGAGCGAATTGGGGATAACCTCACCTCACCGGCACCGGAGTCCTCGTCGGGACTGCCTAGGGGCCGGCGCTATCCTCCTGTCTCGGACCTCTCTTCCTACGATCGCCGGGGTCCTCTCCGCTTAATAATGCTGTCGCGATCGCTCTCGCTCGTATATTTGACCGCTTTTTAATCTGGTCTATCTCGTACGCAAACTCGCGCCAGTCTGACCCCGGGATTCTCGCGATCTAGAATCAATACCGCAGGGCCAGCCAGGACTGCGCACACAGGGTGCGTATTATCGCGATCAATCACGCGCTGCGGCCGGCGGGCGGCACGCTCAAGCTCGTATCGAGGGTGCGCGCACCCCCGGTATCACTAACGATAATTTCTCGCAACCCGCTCCACGAGGCTGGTCGTCCCGACCGAAAGTAATGCTGCGATCTTTGCCGACGTCTTTTCCTGCCTGCTGCGCCTGGCAGCGGCAGCGTTCCTGCAGTGCCTCCAAGGGGGAACGACTCTGCACAGTCCTGGGTCCTTGCGCGAGGATCTACTCGCTGTCCAGTGCGTCACGTATCGCGCGCACAGGTTCTGATCACTTCGCGCCGAAAGATTTGTCACTGGTTGTTCTGACGATTGAAATGACGGCTCATCTCCCCTTGAAAGTCGCTCAAGATTGTCGATAGCTGTTTCTTGACGTTAATTTTTCGATCTCCCAATTTCTCCGCTGACAAGGCTCCCAAAATAAAAAAGTTTTCATACAAAAAAGAAATAATACACGAAATTAAATTAAAAGAAAGAATCGCAATTAACAACGCCTCTCTGGAGACTGCGGTACGGTTCTCGCTATTTTTCGACTGGCGCGGTCGTTCAGCCCGCACTTTTCGATCGGAGAGGAGTCCGGCGAACGCGCGCGAGACGGCAACATCACAATATATATATATATATATATATATATATATATATATATATATATATATATATATATATATATATATATATATATATATATATATATATATATATATATATATATATATATATATATATATATATATATATATATATATATATATATATATATATATACTTAATGAAAAAATACTTTATTATAGTGTTTTGGAAATCTCTCGAGGTAAGCTACAAGAATATGTAATGAGAAATAGGGGATTCCATTTAAAAAAATAAAGATGACCTTCAAATAACCTTGAAAATGACCTTTAATGTCAAATCCAAGGTCATTATTATTAGGTGTACAACTTTGCTTCCGCCGTTTTTTTCCGAAATTCGAGGCTTTATTGTAAAAAACTGGTTATACATTTACGATTCAAAGTATTGTCCATCATTGCATGACGTCTATGATCTATTTATTTCGACCATTACTTACCGCTAAAGCCATCTATAGAAAAACGGCGGAAGCAAAGTTGTACACCTAATAGATAGTTCCCTTTGTTCCCTACAACTTTTATCCGAGTCGTTTTCCTTCAAACGTTGATCCTGAAAAGTTATGAGGGTGGAACTTTTAAAATGGGACACCCTGTATATATACAAGGTGTATCCTAAAAAGTGGGAAGTATTGCAATGAGAGATTCAGGACACAAAAAGAAGAGAAAAAATTCATATATTATACATTCGGTCTGTCACTAGCTCCGCCTTTAAGCGACGTCTACAATAGAGATTTTAAGCCCTAAGCCTTAAGAAATTGACCAATCACAGTCAAGTATGAGGAGAATACTCGACTGTAATTAGTCAATTTCTTAAGGCTTAGGGCTTAAAATCTTATTGTAGACGCCGCTTTAAAAAGCTAGGTTTCATAAATCGCTGTGGTAAACATTTTAAACAAAGCACTTTAAAATTGTTGTTTTGCACCTTAGTAAGGCCACAACTTGAATATGCTTCCGTTGTTTGGGATCCATATCAGTTAAATCACAGCACTCTTATCGAGCGTATCCAGCATTGTTTTCTTCGTAAAATGAGTTGTAGGATGGGGAAACCTATGAGAGTTACCGACCACAATTATGACAGTTTATTGATGGAACTTAATCTATTAACGCTTGGTAAAAGGCGAATCTTTCTTGGATTACTATTTATGTACAAGCTGCTGAATGGAGCGGTCGCCTGTTCGGAGTTGCTTGAACGAATTCGACTCCACGCTCCATCCAGAGCTTCAAGATATAATTCATTGTTTCATCTAGAGCAACATCGTACCTCGTATGGCATGTTCAAACCATTAAATCGCTTATGCATACTCGCCAATGAATACTGTGACCGCATTGATTTCTTCCACTTACAACTCAATTCTTTTAGAAGCACTTTGCTTCGTTATCTCTATTAATTTGCGCTGCTGCTTCTCTTTCTTTTCTGTTTTATTTCTCTTTTTTTGTTTTTGTTTTTCTGTTTTTTTCTGTTTTCTTTCTTTTTTTTTATTTGTTTGTTTTTTTCTTGCTTCTTTTTTCCCGTTTTTAGCACCATTTATTATTACACATCTGTATACCAAAGGGATTCTTTTCCCGTATTCAAATAATAAATAAATAAATAAATATTTGTAGTTTTGTTGTCGTAAGCTAGTCGAGCTACTTCTTTAAGCAGTCTTTTCTGCAGATTTAGTTTACTTTGCGGCCGCGACGCTGTCCCAAGCTGTCTTTAAGGAGTTGTACTTTGAAAAGAGATTAGCCAGTATTTTTTCCACGTCCGACACACATTTACCAAGATCGGCCAGCTGAGCCACCATATTTTGCACTTTTCCCACGTGCTACACCAAATCGCTTAGGTTCATCCGGAATTTCTGCGTTAAGGTCAATTTGTTATTTGCTAATTTTTTATTGTGGATGGTGCTCAGTTTGATCCACATTTTGTTAAACATCTTGCAAGTAACAAACAGTTCATTTGTTCTTTGATAGACAAAGACAGAATGAACTTGACTTTTACGTCTTTTTTTATTCAATTTTTACCTTTTGCGGTTGTCAAATCTGCCAATTTTACCTTCTTTTCTACCACGATGCCGTAGGCCTGCAATGCTGAGGTTACTTGGAATTTCCAATATTGAAAATTTCTTTGGTTTAGCTTACCAATATTCTTCACAGAAATCTCTTTAGTACCATCTCTTCGCCGGTTCGCTCGCTAACATGTGTACACCTCTCGTGTCGTTCTTGTCTTGCGATTGCACTCGTGATAAATGCACGATTCACTTCCTCTTTCTGAGTTTTCACCAACTTCTCACCTGAATCAAATGTACTGGGCCCATTATTTGTTGATTTGCAAGAGTTATTACGCAAAGGCTAGTAAAAAGAATCTCAAAAATATGAGCGAACTACTTTATTCACAAGACCGGTGACGACCGACTGAGTAGCAGACGGATGTGAGCGCGGTAGCGCGCGACCGTAAACTTACACATAGAATATTACACGCAAATACAATACTAGGTGCAGTACGGATGTTCATGAAGAATAAAACACAGAAAAATAAAATATAGTAGGAATATGGCAACAAACATAATAAGAACAGAAACAAGAATGTGAGAAAGCATGTGGAAGCCTGAGAAGCCTCCTTTCAGAATTATTCCAACAATAGATATGTAAGCCTATCCGAGTAGAGGATGAATAAAATAACAGAACTCCACCTGGACTCGATCCTAGGACCTAGCTCTACACTGGCTGACATTTTGCCACTGAGCCACACTTTTCTCCATACAATCGTTTTCTATCTACTCGCTTACGTGTTCTTATTTGAATCTTACAGATGAGATGCTCCAAATATTTTGATTTTCTATTTATGCGCTGATCAATTCATAACTTTGTTAATAATTAGAATTTTAACACCAAATATTAAATGGATATTTTAGAGATATGCTAACTTAAGAAAATATAAAAAATCTATGTTTGATCTTTAACACAAGGAATAGCTTACTCCCTGAAAATAAATTATATATTAAAAATTTTAACTTATTTTGTTCATTTATTGTCAATTAGGAGAAAACAAGGATTCTGGTGACGCATCAACTGCAATATCTACAACTCGCTGATCAGATTGTCGTGATGAACAATGGCAGTATCGAGCAAAAAGGTACTTTCAATCAACTTCAAGCATTAGATCTCGACTTTATGAAGCTACTGAAGACAATAGATGCGGAATGCAAAGAAGATAAAATTGAACAGCCTAATCAGCAATGTCAAAACTCAATAAAAAACAAAACAGAGGCCGAGAAAGAAACTTCAAATGTCTCACTGATCGAAGCGTGCGAAATAACAATGAAAGGTCGCATGTCTCGCAAAGTGTTCTTTGCTTATTTTAAAGCGAGTAAAAAACCTTTTATGATAGCCCTGATGATGTTAATCTTCATAGTAAACCAGATAATAGCCAGCGGTAGTGATTTCTTTGTTGCATTTTGGGTAAATATTGAATCGAGTTCATGGCACGAAACTAACAATTCTATGGCGGAGTTCTTATGGAATGGTCCATTGTCTCGCGATTACATGATCTACATGTATAGTACAATGATAGCAATCATCATATTACTATGGCAATTCCAAACGATCATATATTTTAGTGTATGCATGTGGTCTTCGGTAAATCTACACTCCGCCATGTTTCGCAGTATTTTACGCGCTACTATGTATTTCTATAATATGAATCCAGCTGGCCGTATATTAAATAGGTAAGTACAGAAAAGATAATGACTAATCGAACGTAATAGATATTTATATTAATAGTATATTTATAAACTATTGTATTAAATTAGTGCAAGAGATTTATAATTTTTCTCGAGTTTTACTATAAATAACGTTATTAATTCTTGAGTTTTTTTAAAAAGATGGTAGAAAACTTTGTTTTGCATAAAAAAACATACATTAAAACCAAAAAAGTGACAACATAAGTTTCATGCAGAAATATTCTTCCAAGTATCAAAAATGGATCCATTAGAAATATTAGTTGCCTGTTGTATACAGGGTGTCCGGTAAAAAGGCGCGCGGCTAAAGGTCGACGCTGATTGGCCAGACGTTACTCAATAATAACTCCTTTGTTAAGCGTTATATAAAAAAATGTTACAGGACTTTTCTGTTCAGTTTGCTGTGCTCTACTTGCTCATGAGCGTTGTCAAGGGTGCTTTGGGACACACTGTATACAGGGTGTCCTAGACCACCCGTACACCCCTTTTTTTTCAAAAACTAAGCATTTTAAACAAAAACGTTTTAAACAAAAATTGTATGGTTTTGAGGGGATAATACTTTTATGTACAGAATAATGAGACAAATCAATTAGTATAAAAAATTAATTGCTTTTAAGAAAATTATTTACAATGTATTTTTTTAAACTATTATTTTTTTTTGATTCCATTTCAGAAATTAAAGGTGTCTTTGACTTGACCTTAACGATGCCATCCAAGGTCATTTAATGACACCATCTTATGTTCCCCTCAAAACCATACAATTTTTGTTCAAAACGTTTTTCTCTAAAATGCTTAGTTTTTGAAAGAAAAGACGCGTACGGGTGGTCTAGGACACCCTGTATATCTATGTGTATATGTAATACAATTATTTAGAACTTTTCTGTATTCAAATTTTTTTAATTATTACATGTATACATTATACGTATAATATTTATTTTTAATCATAAAAAATATTGTTTTATGATTTTTTGACAATCGACATATTAAATTGTACAACAAATTAATTAAACTTGTCTGAATTTAACTTGGGAAAATAAGATGTTCTTGTTTTAATTAGGTTTGCCAGAGATATTAATGTTGTCGATTTAATGTTATCGAAATGCTTATTCGATATCATAGTAATCGGACTTATATCAATCACAGTAATTGTCATGATCGTAGCTGTTACTCCGTGGTTGGCTATACCCTCTCTATTTTGTGCCTGCGTTTTTATCTTCTTCCGTATGATATATATCTGCACAAGTCGCAGTATCAAACGCCTCGAAGGGACAAGTAAGTGAACTATACGATACTTATAAAGGACGATATTTATAATCGGCAAATAATTATGGATTCAATCATACAAATAATCATGGATTCTTAATTACACGATAGATTCACTTACTAAATAAATTATGGATATTTACTGCAAAAAAATATAAGTCGAAATACTCAGATGCTCTATCTAAATAAATTTATTTAAAAAAAAATTTTTGTATTAAATCCGATTTAATTTTTAATTAAAGAAATATTTATAAAAATATTAAATTTAAAAATATGTATATGTATAATTTCCTGTTTTTTAAATTTTGAATAAAGAATAATATTTTATATTTTTGGTAATAGAAAAGATTATGTTACATCAGTCTCTTTTTTTTGTGTAAATTGAGTTTTTATATACTCTCTAAAAGTACTTGGTTATAATTAAAATAAATTTCAATAATTCCATTATGAATGTATTTTATGTATACGTTGTATCAAGAGACACGGTAGTATCTCGCGCCAAGTCACATAGCCAACAGTGAAGTGGATCGTGTATCTATGGGTGCGTTCCGTTTCACGCATTGAGTGCATAGATCGCCTGGAAATCTATAATATATGTTACGTGAACTATAGATTTCCAGGCGATCTATGCGCTCAATGCGTGAAACGGAACGCACCCTATATACTCAAGCCGTCCAGTTGCGAATATCTTAAATCAGGGAGTCGATTGTGTATCTTGAGACGAAGTAAAAATTACAAAAGTGAACAGATTTACTAAATTTCGACACACACTATACACACTAGGGCATGCGCTCACGTCCGTGTACGAACGTTGCTCGGTCAGCTTCGGCCAGCTTCGGCCAATATATTGTCAATGAAAAGAATATGCACATTACGGCATGCGCCCACGTCCTTGTATTCTCGACCACGCTCGACGCTCGGCCGAAGAAGAAAAGGATAGAGAATATATATTTTATAGAAATATAAAAATTTATAAAAGAAATTTATAAATTTATAAAAGAATAAACTATAATAAAAGAAATATTTTTCATTATAGTTTATTTTTATTATAAATTTTTATGTTTATATAAAGCGGGGTTATTAACAAAATAGCTCCGTAAAATTCCATATCTTCGCCATTGGTTGAAATGGAAAATTATTTTTTTTATGTCTAATAGACCTTCATCAACTTAAGCTACACACAACATTTTGTTGCATTATCTTCCTTTGTTCAAAAGTTATTAAACAAAAATTTTTTTTCCGAACACTTTAATGTCCTGTATCTGGGAAATAAAGGCCCGTAGGGCATAACACTTTATATAAGAAAACCCTTTATTTCTCTCTAATGAATACGCTATTTTATTTGTTCCCAACCTTTTTATTACATACTGTATGTTGTGTAAAAGTAGCACATGTGACATATATAAATATTACAAAATTAGATATAAAATTAAAACATGTTTTATATAAACATATAAATTTATAATAAAAATAATCCATAATGAAAAATATTAACTGTATATATAATGAATTAATAATTATAAAATAATATAAATAATTATATAATTAGAAATAATAAGGATAAAACTCTCGAAGTTGGGCCTATACGCCGATGACTTTGACCTTGACATATGTTGTCAAGGAGGTTCTTCTGAGTAATTCTCCGCAAGAATTAAGTGGCGGACGGCATTAGTTTAGAAGATATAACAAATTAAAGTTTCATATGTGGACACCGCCCTCTGCTTACAGTGCGAAAAGAAGTATATAATTGTACAGTTCTGCATGGATTTACGAATTTCACCCCACACCGATCCATATGTACAGTGCAAAACGAGATCTATAATTGCCCCTCCCCGCTCGACATATACTTTGCAAAGCGAAGTGAGGTTGTATAACGTAACCAGGGTTGTGGGAAAGTTACTTTATAAAAGTAACTCGTTGCCGTTACCGTTACCGTTCTTTTTTCTAAAAAGTAACTCGTTACCGTTACTCGTTACCAATTTTAAAAAGTAACTCGTTACCGTTACCGTTACTCAAAAAATAACGAGTCGTTACTATTTCCGATAGTTTTTTTATATATAACAATAACTTTACATACAATTTTTTTTAATACAAGATCAAATTAAACACTAAAAATTTTTAAACGTTGTCTTACAAAGAAACAAGATACCAAAATGAGTTTATAGTAGTTTTCATATAATGCTGCATTCCGACACTCTTATCAATATTTTCCTTTGTATGAAAATTATACCGAGAAAATTTAAAAAAAAAATAACGATAAAAGTAACTGTTAAATTCGTTACTCGTTACCGAAAAATGTAACGAAGTTACTTTTTCCGTTACAAACAAAATTTGTAACGTCGTTACCGTTACAGTTACCGAAAAAAAGTAACTGTAACGGTAACGGCGTTACAAGTAACGCGTTACTTCCCAACCCTGAACGTAACCCAAACCAAATTTTAGCTTTAAATCAGAAATAGGTTTGAGTTAGGTTATATCTTCTGGAAGTGGAGCCCCCCCCGTAGAGGGGGGGGGGGGGGGGGGGGGGGGCGGAACCTACTGCGTTCACGCATGTACTTTGCAAGACAAAATGAAGTTCACTTTTTAATGCTTTATAACTTTTGAACGGATCGCTACTTTTTTCAAGGTCAGAGTCACTTAGGACGATGATCTGGACAACATATTTCAAAGTCAAAGTCATAAATGAGGTTGTCCTTATTATAAATTTTTACATCCATATAAAATATAAAATATTTTCTATCCTTTTCTTCTTTGGCTGAGCGTCGAGCATGGTCGAGAGCATACGAAGGTAGGCGCATATGTGCTATAATGTGCGTATTCCCTTCAGTGATAACATATTGGCCGAAGGTGTTCGAAACTGACCGAGCGACGTTCGCACACGAACGTGGGACGTGAACATTTCTGCTTTTATATCATAGATATATTATATATAGATAGAGCTTTATCTATTATACTGGGTGCCAAGATAATAAAATACTTTCCTCCCTCGCGCATGTGCAATCGCGCATTTCTTCCAACAGCCGAGAAAATAACCTCTTTTATTTTATATAGAAGATACCGTGTTTAATAAAAATACAATACATTTAATTTCCCGCACTTGTTAATTCCTAAATTTTTTTAAATTTTAATGCAAATTCCAAGCCTTTACAAACGATGTACGTCCGCGGTGACCGCTACTTTTTTCAAGGTCAGAGTCATTTAGGACGATGACCTTGACAACATATTTCAAAGTCAAAGTCATAAATGAGGTTGTCCTCTTTCTGTATATCTTCTAAACTAATGCCGTCCGCTACTTAATTCTTGCGGAGAATTACTCAGAACAACCTCCTTGACAACATATGTCAAGGCCAAGGTCATCGGCGTATAGACCCAACTTTGAGAGTTTTACTATAATAAGATGTACGTCCGCGGAGAGAAACGTACGAATGCGCATGCGCAAGGGAGGAAAATATGCTATTTATCTTTGCACCCGCGGCTCTAAGGCAGAGATGACACAAAGCTCTATCTATATATAATATATCTATGTTTTGTACCCAACCGGCGCGACTCGGCCGGTCCCCCATTCGCACTTAGGAGCGTGGCGGGGATGGCCTCCACAGAGGAGCCGGTGTACTGATGTCGGCGTTTAGCAATGCCAGAGGCGGCGAGCCTCGTTTTCTGGGTGGGTATTCGGCCCGGAAAATTAGTAGTAACAATACACTAGATGCACCGTTATGTAATAATTATCAGTTTAATTTCTGATACAAGCTTATCTATTATACAAGCTTTATCTTGTACAAGCCCAACAGGAAATTTAAAATATTAAACTATGATAATTTATGACGATTATGATATATTTCACATGAAAATGTGAAATTAGCATGCTGGCCCCTTCGTGTTTATTATTATTTAATTAATTATGACATCCTTTGGTGATTATTATTAGCGAATGATTTTCATGGCCTCACTGTGTAACTGTCAAAATCAACGTTAAGTTACACGCGATGAAAGAATATTTTTATTTCTTGGCTTATGGTGGTGCCATGGTGAGTGTCGCATTTCTCAAGTTACCAACCTACTATTCGCTTATGTTTTGATATGTTCAATTTTATATATAGACCGGTTATCTGTTTCTTTTGACTTTCGCGATGCAAAATCATCAATACATCACATTGGCCGTTTAGAGGCTACTCGTTTCTACTTGTACAAGCTGGGATTTGTTTATATCATTATAATACGTTTTACTTTATAAACTCCGCTATTATACAGGGTGATCCGGAACAACTGTTTGTCCTTAAAGGGTCGTATTCCTGAATCAATTCTAAGATGATTTTTCCTTTACGAAAATTTTGTCTGGAGCTTAGTTTTTAAATTATAAAAAGAAATAGTTAGCGAATCACGGGACGAATACAGAAGGTAGGCGAGTAAGTTCCGATTGCGCACATTACTGATCGGACACAACAATATTTCCCGATCGGACTCAGACCCGATCGGACACATGTCCGATCGGACACAGTCCCGATCGGACACAGGCTCAATCGGACACAGACCCAATTGGACATAGTTTTGATCGGACACATACTGTTGCAATCGGACACAGGCCCGATCGGACACAACAATATTTCCCGATCGGACACAGACCCGATCGGACACAGGCTCGATCAGACACAGACCCAATTAGACACAGTTTTGATCGGACACATACTGTTGCAATCGGACACAGTCCCAATCGGACATAGGCCCGATCAGCCACAGGCCCGATCGGACACAGACTCGATCGGACACAGACTCGATTGGACACAGACGCTATCGGATACAATCCCGAATGAACATAAACCTTGTTAAAAATATTTAGTTTCAATGGAATACATATTGGGTTAAACTTTGGCTAATTGCGCTCGGTTTTAGCAAAAAAATCGGTTGCAGTAATTTAATTAAAAACGTGGTAATTATTTGGAATAAGGCCTTTTCTGAATTTTGACAAATATAATCGGATCTCTCAGTAAAACTCTTTGTTGTAACTCCAACAA